ATGGATTAACACAAACAAATGATATTAATAAAGGTAGAATAGATATATCAATATGGAAAAAGCATGTAAACCCAATGACACAATCCTCCACAACATCATTTGGTAAACAAGCCCATCACTAATAAAATCTTTATTGAGTGAAGCAAAAGTCCTCAATAAAATCTACAAACAATCATTGTCACAAAGCAATTAATAGCCACTTTTTAACTTGCTTTCACAAACCTAACCACTAAACTCACACTATCGAGTTATATACTTGTCCAACATGAAGGTAATACCTTAGATCGAGTAATAGGAATATGGACAAACACAGATTAAATGACCACTTTAATCTAATTGAACTACAATAACCTCACCAACATTTGGCCAATAGTTCTGTGAAGAGAACACTCAATCATAACTAAAGTGAAGACCATGAGATGGACCCGTATGGTACACAACCTCCTAATAAACAAAGCTAGTATAACATTATAGGAGAAAGGCATAAGGGTCACTTTTATAAAAAGTGCAATAGCCATTTTTCTAAACTAACTATAAACTCTATTTAACTCAATTGCTTTGGCCCTAAAAATTGGCATCCCTTTCAAGCTGCATCATACAAACTATCTACTAAGGTCTAGGCTAACCTCAAACTCGTACAAATGGTACATCTTAAATCCATCTTATTAACTCAAAGTGTAACCTTGAGTTGCTAATGTGCCTTACTCACGAGCCCAAGCACAAACTCATGCAAATAGAACATCTCTATTCATCTTATAAGCCCAAGAGCAAACTCACATAATATGGTACAAAAAAGTAACCAAAATCCATACCTAAGTAACGAATGTGAAGCTTTAGCACCCAAACGTGTACCCACATGAATTATCATTTTCATCTCTGCATATGTAATGAAACTAGTTGCCCAATCTCATTGTATAGTACTCTCTGAGACATTTTCTCTGATACCAAATGTAGCATAAGTGGTTTTCACCCTTTATCCTATGGTGATTTACCATAGGATAATCATGTGGAACCTAAACCTTCCATGTGCCATGTGTCACATGCCATGTGTCCAAAGGAAAGTGGTGCAGAACTTGAGTTTCAGGCCTTGGGCA